GTTAGTTATTCATAAGGTTAGTCCTTTCATCTTCTATACCTTGTAAAATTTTTGATTTCCTAGCTATAAAATCCATTTTATTGTTATTAGTCCACCTAAATTTCATTTCTATCTTTGATTACTGTTATTAGTAAATCTAATTTTCAGGTACTTGAACTGCAATTATGCAATATTCTTACTGTGCGTAACAAGGTGTATGTAGCATTAAATATTCAATGAATCTATGCATTAGTTATAAATTGAAGATGAACCGTTCCATATTCTCATGTGTTCCTCCTTCCATAGAATTTTTAGAGTCTCTGTATATCTGCCCCCTTTATATTGGGAAAATATGTGCTTGAACGGTCCTCTCAACTTTTTATTGCATCTATCTATTTGATCATTTTTGTGGTTGTTGTAAGTAATGCTAGCATGATTCTGACAATTACTAGGAACAAAAATAACTTTGAAGAAAATAGTGAAGTGATTGTACAAGTGTAATATTTCAACACAATCTTGCTAGAAATGTATTTTAGTGAGATTTATAAGAACCTGTTTTTTTAATAGGCACGGCCTCTATATGATATGACAGTCCTGTAATTTTTTTTTTCACACTTCAATGACTTGTTAAACTCATGTATTGTTTATTGGGAACAAATTGGGTTTTTCTATTAAAATCTTGGCAAGTGTAATATTTGTCAAATCTTTAATCTGAAGGTGTCAGTTGCTTTACCAAAACATATTACCATGGATGGAATGCAAAAGTGGTGTTGATCATTGAGGATCGAGAGTTATTTTTGCTACAACTGAGTAATTTCTCACTTAAAGATTAATTGAACCTGCTGACTTATTATTATTATTTTCCCTAACAGCATGTGTTTTTTTTTTTGGAGGGGACAATCGCACTTTCTTGTTAAGAAAATTGGTAGTATGGATGTGATGATCTATGAAGCTTTTGCACTAATATACTCCTTCCGACTTACACATTATGCCTTACTTTTGGAAAGCACAAGTCGTCCTGCATTAGCAATATTTTTTTATGAAGAATGTGTGAAGGAAAAAAACTGTATGACACAACCAATTACATAAAACTAGCAATATCTTATAAACCGTATAACAAATTATAGTAATCGGCCAAATGGATTATTAAAATTATGAAATGTGCACGAGATTTATTCTCCATCTATATTCATGCTTCAATTGGTCATAATTTAAATCCTATGATGCACCTTCATGTTAGAATAATTTTTTAGGAGTAAAAATTATGATCTTTAAAAACCTACTTTTTAGTTCTTATTGTTGACCATGGGAAGGCATTCAAAATGGAGTTGAAGCATTTACATGCTTAGGCTCATTAAACAGCGGGTTAATCATCAATGAATTTATGTGTTAACATTATTTGTATATGCTATGAGACATGCATTCTTTCATAATTTTTTTCCCTACTTTAGATGAGGAGTGTTTATAGCTTCGCATATCTCTAATTACTAAGTTTTAGGACGGAAAACATTGTCTTGCAACATGCTTTAAAAATATTTATTCTTTATATACAAAAATTGATCATCACAAATTATATGCTTGATTAATGTTGGTTCTGTTATTTCTTTTTTGCTACTTTAGTTTATATTGCAAATAACTCAAAGCCATGCAAACAAAAAAGAGGATAAACTACAAAAACATGAGTTACAAGATGAATGGAGAACATTGTATTCGCACTGAAAATTCTATTAAAATTAATTTAACTTGAATTTTTAAGGGGTTTTCATCGGTGAATTGTCTGATCACCATGTTTATTATGGTTTTGCATTTTGGGGGAAGTGGTTGACATCTTCGAGATATAATATTTTCATATTCAGAATGATTCACGTGCAAACTCACGTGTGCATCAATTAGTGATTATAAAAGACACATGTAATATTTTGATTAAAGTAAACTAATTAAATATTTTAAAATTCTAATAAATTAGTATTTAGGGAGGGAAGCCTTCTCAATGTCTTTCGGTCCTAATTTAATTATTTTATGGTACAGTAAGATAACTCAATCAGAGTTATATTACAACTAAAAAAAAATTATGATTGATCATAATATTTTAGATTTGATCCCGAACTATTCAATTTTATTGTAATCACATCTGATCGAGTCACAATCTCACAGGATTAACTCATAATTTTCAGTAGGATAAAAAAAACTTATTAATTGAAAAGTGAGCCCCATTTGAATGATTTATCAAATGACATGGGGCGATGATTACTGTAATATGTGAGATCCACTTACTTGCTTGTCATAATCTTATTAAATGGTAAAACCACATAGCTGTGATAATATAGTGTCATCGTTACACTCAATATTTTCTCGTATTTGACGGGATCGGTAGAAAACTTGGTAAATTACTGTCTGACATTTATGTTCTGTTTGATAGCAATGATGAAAAATAAGAAGGATGGAAAGTAGGAGGAATACATTTTTTATAGGAGGGATACACTTTCTATCATTCAAAGAAAAAAAATATGAATGATACACTTTCATTCTTTTATGTTTGGTTAGATGGATGGAAAATAAAAATGAGTATTTTTTTTTTGTGCTGGCTAAGATTAGGGGTGACAATTGAGTCGTGTCATGTCAGATTCATGTAGAGTCATTGCGGGTTTGTGTCGAACATTAGTCATACCTAACTCAACTCATTTAACTAATTGTATCGTTTCGAGTTGCGAGTTGACCTGTTTATTTTCGTGTCGTGTTCGTGTTCATATTCGTGTTGACTCACATAAACTTTGAATAAAAAATTTAACGCTAATATTTTATTTTTTATTTTTAAAATTTTTTAATATATATATACATATTTTATCATTGTATTTTTATATGAAATTAATTTATACATAATATATAGACAAATAAGATACATATCAATACAAATAATTAATTTTTCATTTACTTTCCTTCCGATTTGGGAGGGATTGATTTTGATGAGTTGGAAAAAAAGTTAATTCATCCACTTTTCCATCATTCCTATTTTCTTTTCTTATCAAACATGATATTTTATTTATCCATCTAATTTTTCATCTTTCTATTTTTCTATCATACCAAACGAAACATTAATATCTATGTGAAATGATACAACTCTTTTTTGAGATATTGTAACAAATGGACGCATCCATCATCGGAAAAGGTTAAGGATGCGTTTGTCGTGCCTCTCAAATGGGAGAAATTGTTTTCTGGGTTTAACACAATACATGGTAGTGCTAGACGGTGTCCATCACTAATAAACTGTTGTGCATATCCAATATATAGTTGTCATCTATCATTTTATCAGATTTTTTTCCTTGAAAAAGTCAACTTGTGTGATTCACAATCTATTTTTTGTGATAATTTCTCATTACTTATGCACACATCACGACAATTATAATCTCTTAACGTCTTAAACTCATTCAAAATTTTCTCCCCAATCCAAATGCGGTGGATCGGTACTTTTAACTTTTTATTGAGAATGCATCCTTCGAACGCACTTGTATGTAGTTGAAAAATGGGGGGGGGGGGGGGGGGGGGGGATATTAGAGATTTCTAATTTGGGATCCTAAATGGTATTCTAATTCGATAGGAAGTTTTGGATCAATCGTTCGCTGACCCACTCATCCGAAGAAGTCTACTCATGTAAAATTCCAAATTTAGGATCCAAAATATTGAATAAGATCCCCGAAGGTTCTTAATGACTCCTAGCCGTAATCTGGTGCGTGATTGACGAGCTATAGACGAATCGACAATAAAGAATGTTTAATTACCCAGAAAAACAAGACAATATACACCAGGAAAAAGACATATAATCAGTGTTTTAAAACCGCTATGACTTTATGACAGACAACCACTTATTATAGAGAAGTTATAACTAAAGACTCTCTTTACTTGTTTGTTTGAATACCATTGACCGGTAATAGTATGTCAACATTGTCACATAGTATCACCGTTGTAATGAATACTTTTTCCTCTATAAGCTTGAAAAATATAAAGTTGGCACTTGGCAATTATAATACTTAAAAAACCCATGTTATCCTCTTTATTCTTTCTTTGAATAAAATTAATCAATGTCTAAACTTAAACCTTGTTGGTACAAAATTAATCCCATATCCAAACACCTCTCTCTCTCTCTCCCTCTCTCATTCAACCTATATATGCACAACTCAACTCAATAAAACTCTGTCACAGCTATATAGGATCAATTAAATGAATTCTATTTCTTCAGTGAACTTTATCATGGACCATATCAGATCGATTTTTACTATCTCATTTAAAGTTAATTTCGACTTACTTCTCCCTCTTTCATTGCAATTGACAAGCATCATGTCATTCTTCTTCACTAATGCAGTAATTGAACCTCTATCTACATGTCCAAACCACTTTTTTGCAAACTTTCGAGAAAATTTGTATGAAATTTAACACGAAAGTATAAAGTTGGTGGAAAAGAAATCCAATTAATAGTACGATAAAGAAAGTAAAACAGAGAATTACAATAGAGAACCAGCCCCTCCATCCCCTTTATATTTTTGTTCAAAAACTAGCATAACATTTGAAAAATAAGGAATCACAATCTTGTGGAACAACCCAATCCATCACCACCAACCCAAATAGCTTATGCCAGAAATTTAACACAACAGTACAGTGAAGGAAAAAAAGGGATAGAAAGCACTTATGTTACCAAACTACCAACTAATTGACAGCATAAAAACAAATAAGAGCAATGCTCAGGAGTGTTATAAGGTACCACAAGTTAACTTAAGCGCTGACTAATTGTTACCTCAACACAGCTACAATGCATATTCTGCAGCAGATGGTAAATTAGTTGGTAGAAGTTCCTTCACTACTGTTGAATGTCACGGTAACTTGAAACACAGTAAGGTAATGTAGTTTTTAAAATTACATATGATGTACTTAAGTCAGAGGATAGATCGGATAAAACAAATCAGAGAGTTGTTATTCTCAGTTTTTCTTCATCAATAACAACAATTGATTTTTTGGCACTTAGTTGATAGCTGGAAGTTTGTAAACTTTCTGTGCAACTCAACTTAACTATAATACATTGTCCCGCAACAAAGGTTCAATTATACATTAAGAAATGAGATTATTTTTCTGGATTGCAAATTACATTATCGTTAAACAATGATGAGAGGAAGAAATAGAAAAGAAATAATGTTACAGATGCTATGTTGCATGGCTCAAAAGCAATGAAAATCTATCAAGCATATCAAAATTGGTGGAGATCATTAAAGACCACCATCAAGATCTCTTCACAACAGCAGTAGCAAAGTAAGGATGGTGGCTGAACTCAAAGTAAACCTTAAGTGATGGGTCAAGAGTTCCTAACCGGCATACAAGATTTAGGGCAACACCATTGTGTTCTGCCACCTGCTCAATCTGGCGAAGTTCCACCATCCTGTCTCGATCATTTGAAAAACTACTCCTTAGCTCCTTTGCAATCCTCTGAGCATCTTTAAAGCAGTTATACACAACGATTGTCTGCACAAAGACAGATGCTGATCAGGGTTTAAATCAGAGGACACGAAAATACAGCATTTTATGACCCAAGAATACTAACCGATAAGCGGGCATGGTTGGTAGATTCTTTGAAAGAGAGGTATGAGACATGATCAGGAATGCAAGCTCTTTGTAGGAATTCAAAATGCTGAATGAATCTCTGAGAAAAATTGCAACTTTGGTGATAAATGACGCGTTTGTTTACATGAAACTTTCACTCCCTGACTCAAATAAGCATAACTCAAAAGCAATCAAATTTACTTGGAGGATAAAGAAAGAACTATTTCTTGTATAGGTGACCTAAATAACAAAATATGATTAAATAAGTAATAAAGTACTACGAAAATACAATTTTGAAAGTTGTAGAATTCGTAAATCCCTAGATTACAGTCAAATATAAACACTCGCTGAAGCACATCAATTTGCTAATTGTGTAAACAAAGCTTTCCTTTCCAAATTCTCAAAGTACATTCGAAAGGCGTAAACATGTAATCCACAAAAAAAAAAAGTGTTACCTCGTGCTCAGTATTAAAAGGACCCAGACTTTGAAAGACCTTGTGTTCATTCCTCAAAGCAGCAAGCATCTGGAAAAAATAAACCTTTTAGTAAAGCACTTAAGATTACTATGGCAAAATAAACATCCATGCTAGTATAGGCGTTGTTCTACTCTATCATTATATCTTCTTTCATTCGTGATAGGTATGACTGGGTTCTAGAGAGCTGCCAAATAGGTTCATATATACTGATGATAGCCCCAACAATAAATGAAGGCAGCTCCGCAAACTATTTCACATTCATATTGTGGAAGAAATTCCCATATGTTGTACAATATGACCTGTTAATTTTTCAGTCAAAGAAACACTTGCCATTGTGAGCCCTTCAGCGAGATATATCTGACACTGAAGCAACAAGACCACGGGTGGGATCTGATAGTCCCTTGCCGCATCCTTTAGGGATTCCCTTTTCTTCTTCCCCTTCCGTTTAGCTGGATATCAAATAAGATATAATCAAGAAGGATATCATGGACAGGACTAAATGCAGTTGAAAAACTATCTGATGCTGGCCAATAGGAAAACCCACTTCAACTACACCAAGATAAGGCTTGCAGGCTAGAAGCACCATTCAGGTATCCAAATTACAGGTTTGGTCCTTCACTCAGAACCGATTGATCTCAGCGAACAATCACTACAAAATAGTCATAAGACCAGCCATGCTTTATGATTTAATGCACTAGGTAACTAAAGATATATCCTGTTCAAGAACGATGCATAGCTGAAATGTGGACATTAACATGGATGTGTGATAAAACAAAAAGGATGGAATTAGGAAAAATATGTTTGTGAAATGTTGCAGCAACAATCTTAAGAGGTAAATAGAAAGATATTTGACTAAGGTAGTCTGTAATCTTTGTACATAGTCAAAGAAGACCTAAAACTGTTGTCAATAGCACTACGGGTACAGGCAGACCAACACTAACGTTGAAGGGTATAGTAAAGGAAGATATCATAATTTTAGACACAGTAAAAAATATTGCTCTAGATAGAGTTCAATGGAGCCGATTCCAAATAGTTCGGATAAAGTTTTGCTGAGTTGGGTAGACAATGGCCATGAAAATGCAAGTGATGAAATGCCCATTTCCTTTTTACCCTTTTGGGGGGTGTAGAAAAACCTTAAAGTTTAAAATTACAAAGTGGTGATCAAGCTCAGTGGCATCTGTGCACAACTGCACATGCATTCAAACTGGAAAATCTACATATTCCTTGCAAACATTGCAAGCAAAACAAGAAATAGCATAAGCACAGTATTTACCAATTTCATTGCTCGTCAACATCTTCAAATGTGTTTTCTCCGCAAGCTTGATCAAGACAACATATATATACCAATACACCATGCAATATTCACAGGGAGAATACAGCTCCAATTCAAAGCCCAGCATAAGAAAACGAGAAGCTATCCAATATGTTTGCTCCTCTACCCAATTGAGGATATGTTTCGAAATTTTAATGCATACATTCTGCAAATAAATTGAAGAGATAAGATACACATTCGATATACCAAAAAGGGCAACTATTGTAATATTTCACAAAAGGAAGGCTAGGTAATATTATCAAACTGAAACGGACAACAGCACAACTAGAGCAAGTTCTTTTCCAATTGACTCCATGTGCTCATATAGCAAGCAAGGCCAATGCGATAATTGCAGCAAACATAAAATTAAGCGGCAGTGAAATTAAAAAATGGTTTCCTCATATCTATCAGTTTATTATGTGGCATAAGAAACTTCATTTTCTTCTCATTTGATGTCCCCTTTGCATAATATATCTCTGTTTTCCTGTGGGGATGACAACAGTAATTGCCAAGTAGGAAGCGAGAACAATGGAAATGGGAGTTTCGAGCATCCAACTCAAAAACCAACTTGTAATAAGTAGAGATACCCCTTAACCATATAAGCCAACTTTGGATGGCCTAAATCATTCATTTTGAGATACAAACTCTCTTTACAACCTCTCTCAGATGAGACTCGGGAGTTGCGCATGGGTTAACAAACAAGTACACAATGCGCATACCAAGAAACTGAAATGGTTAAGAGACTTAACCCCACTGACCACTTAAGGTTAGCACTGATACCATGTTAGGGCATCCAACTTAAAACCGGGTACCGACAAAGAGCATTGTGGCCCTTTAACCATATAAACCAACCTTGGATGACGCTAATCATCGTATTGGCATACAAACTCTCTCTAAGGGCGGCAGGTGTGACGGAGGCATCTCTCTCTCTCTCTCTCTCTCTCTCATGTGCATGGATACTAAGTACCAAACATTCCAACCACAACACTCCTTGGTATTAGAAGTACAGCATTCTCAGTCATAGGCCAGTGCTTGATCATGGGGCTGATCATGGGGCTGATAATAATGCTGGGCAAAGTGCTTTCCCTCCGTGTTTTGTGATACAAAAGCTAGTTGATTATGTTCACCTTGTACAAGAAACAAAGGTGAAAAAGCGTTTGTTACGACTGATATCAGCATCAGTCACCTTCTAAATAAAATCTCGCTTTCAATTTGTGTTATAAATAGAAAGCACAATCGATGCATTTGGGTAGGTCAATGCTTCCCTCGAGCATGTTAGATATACTCCCAATACCTCTATTTTAAGCCCCTTCCAACCTGAAGTTGTAAAGGGATTGCATTCGCATAAGAAATTGAAACTGTAAGTGTCTTGGCCCTACAGTAGCCTGTGGTCAATTTCTCATACCCAGACAAAACCACCTAATGGACCAGTGAACCAGTTGGCAGCCACAAAGTTGCCTGCAGTGAATGGTTAGAGGACAGCCACTTGGGCGCCTGCATCTATAGAAGTGTTCAGATTCTAAGTTGGAACATAGGAGACAAACAGATTTATCAAACATAAGACAAGCTAAGTTGGTAAATGAGCTTCTACATCATTTAACTGAGGAAAATGTTTCAGCTGAGACCAGCATTTGGGAGGGACATGCAGGTCACTCCAAGTCATTGATATCAAAAAGTTAACTCCATCCATTACAATATTCTTTAAAAGTAAACAGAGGCTAGGCTGATAGATTGTTCACAAGCAGCATACCTCATCAATGGAAGTGCTTGAGATTTCTCCAAACTCCTTTCTAAAAGCCAGTTCTAGCTGATCAACCAGTGACAATAACCAAATGCATAAAATCAGTCCTCAGGGAGGGGAGTGTTGTTTTATACAACGAAAAGCACATCACGTGTTGACATGAACATAAAAGTAAATACAGAATTGAGTCATAAAGTAGCTGGCTTCTTCAAATAATGAAAGAAGAAAATTTGGCCCAAGGGCAACATCTGCTGGCAAAAAAGAATCCACACTTTTATCTTCACATTAGCAGTACGAACTTGACAACATAGTAATATTAAAAGGTGAGACCAACGTAGATCATTGTTCAGAATTCTGGTTATTCACTTGAACTTAAGCAAGGGATATATAAATATAATGTTGTCCAGAAAATAATATGTTGTTGCTGATGATGAAAGTTTGAGGTCAGGATAAATAAAAAAAGAATAAGAAAAAGTAGCGGAACTGCGATATATCATGACATATATTCATGCACACTATCTTTTAGTACTCGATGGCATCCAAAAAAAAAACCTCGATAAAAGAACAAATTGAAAAGAATCTCTTGTTCACAATAGAGATTTATTGAAAACTTATATTGTTGCTATATTTATAAGATTATTCAAATAAAATTAGATCTTAGGAGGGTGGGAGTGTTATACAAATTGTTTACAGCTTAAACTTTTGGGTCAAGTGGTTCTCTCACAAAAACACAACACATTCTCTATTGAGAATGGTTCTTATAATTGCCAGTAGAGGAAAGATGCTTTTAACCAGCTAGTCCTCAATCAATTTGTACACAATAAAAACAAACCATTGATGTTAGAACTTGGAAAAGCAAGGAATGCGTGCATTTAAGGCAAATAACATGATTAAAACAACCTCAGTGGATCTAGAAAAGATAAAACATGTAATGGACTTTATAGATTTGAACAAATCATAAAGGGAAAAATTAAAACAAAATGCAGGAAATTCAATGTGCATATAGGGCAAACCTGTAAATATATGACACGCCAATCTTGTACAATTTTCCCAAGTTTACGCCTTTGCCATGCAGCATTTGTACAAAGAATTCTAAGCAAACTGATCACTAACTGCATTATATAAAAATGATCAAACTTATTAAGAACAACTTGAAAACAAATGAAAAATCATCGAAGGCAATAATTAGCCTAGCTTGATAACAAGAACTAAATAAGAGTATCCATTTGATTATTCAACAATTTCCAAAATAACCAACAAATTTAAATGCTGCCACTCAAATTATGGATTTGTTTTCAAAAGACAGGAAAGAACACTTAAGAAAGGTGTGTAACTAAAACAAAGAGAAATATATTAGTCATCACCTGCACTAGTTGTACAACAGATTCATTCTTCTGAATGTCATGACTTTTTGTCACTTCAGGTAATACAGCAGCCTTACAGATCATAGCAAAGACAGGATCACGCCCATAGAGTTTCCCTTCTTGAAGCAAAAGAAGCTGTCCATTAGTTCCCAGCATTAGATTCCAATACTGGACTGTAAGAACAACGTACAAGTACTTTTAACAGGAAATCAAAAATATAACATGAGGATATCTATATACATTTTTTTTAGGGCTACAACGTCCTTAGCAGTGTGTGCGCTTTTGCATGTATATTGTTAATTTCAAAAAAAAAAGTTTCCTGTCTTGTGATGATTGTTGTCTTTTGACAACAAAAGGCTATGACCTTCGTGCATCACAATAGCGAGAACCCATATAAACATCAATCCATATTCAGGGCTAGACTCAATGAAATCAATGGGATACTTATCCATACTACCTGGCCAAAGATGGAGAAAATCATTATGAAGAGGCTTTAACTGATGATGGTACTCTCTTTCCTAAGGCCTCAATAATTTTTTTTCTTTTTTTGATTTGTTTTTTTTTTTGCGGCAATTCTCCTATGACATTGGGGACCATTTTATTTTTTTCTGAACTGAAAAGGAAATATTGTTAACCTTGCAATTATCTTTATCTGATTAAGATAATAAAGTACATTACTTTGTGGCCATGAACTAAAATAACTAAAATTTTACAGGTAACGGTAGCAGTACACTGAAAGGGGGTTTGAACTTTGAAGTCATCAGGAAATCACAAATTTTCTGATCATTTACATGGTCTGGTTATTTTGTATGATATCATTCCTAACTAATGTCTGTATTTAACACATCAGTATGATGTCACCATCCAACTCAAGCTGGCCCCACAATTTTCTTTTACCCCTCCCCTCATCTGCAGAAATAGCCCCGATTGGATCAACCCTCTGATTGTTAACCCTCAACCTAGTCTCTTTAATGGTTCAATCAATGTCCAGGTTTCAAAACATCCATTTCAAGCTCAATCTGTATCTACAAAAGTTTCATTGTTTGTCCCACAAGTTTGAACTCCAACTGGTTGCAACCTTAAACACACCCTTCATGCTAATCTTTTAAGGAATGGTATAAGGCCTCCAAGAGCCTTTTAACCTTGAAACATATTCAAATTATCACTCCTTCAAAGGCATCTGAAAGCAAGGGAACTCCTAATAACACAAAATCTACAGCAGGCTATCAAAGCATAGTGCACATCAAGTCATATAGTCACATAAAAATTCTAGATCGCCAAATAAACACATGAAATAAGGGAATAGTAGTCAATATTGATTAAATAACAAACTTAAACAATTGTAGCATGTCATCCATTGGGAGGGAGAAACAACATCAATTCTAATGTGGGAAACAGTAGAAACTGACCTGAAGATGAGCTCTAGCGACCAAATCAGGCTGAAACTTTTGGAACTCAACAACAAAGCGCAAAACACCTTCAAACAAGGGATCCAACGAGTAGGAACATATGATATCTAGATCATGAAGAAGCTTTTGGAAATACTCAACAGCCTGGTAGAAGGAACCAAGAACTTGTTGATTTATAAAAGTAAACAGTTGATGCATCAATATTGAACCTGCAAATTTTTAAAATGCTCACCTTTTTCCAGCTAAGAATTTTGATTGCTCGAGGTGGAGTAGGAGCAGCTAATCTATTGTTTAAAGTGGAATCAAACCCAATTGGTTGACGGCCAGAAGCAGTTGTTCTGCCTTCTATTCCATCTAAAGAGGTTTCACATGCATTGTTGGACCCAAGGAATTCCGCTGATTTAAGAATGGAATCCAGCTCCAATAAGCAGGACGCTATATGTTTTCTGGCCAACTCCAAACCTCTGCCTTGAGGTCGCCTCATGCACGTCAAAACATGGTAGAAGTGCTGAATACAAAGGAAAATATAATAAAGTTATTAGGAGAGCATCTATCATAATTGTTTCATGGTAAAGTACAGAACAAAATGGCAAATGCAACTTCACTGCAACCATATTAAGCTGGCAAAATAAAACCAGGTCTTTCAAGAATGTAGCCAAAATGAAGTAAAACAATATTATGAAATGTTTCCATTGATGGGACAACCATACATGAAGTAAAACACACGACATAATTTTCTTGAAGAACCGGAGCAGGTAGTCCTGAGCCATCACAATCAGGTTTTCCATAAGAGACCATTCAGTTGTAATGGAAGCCACATTTGGCGTAACAGATTTTGGTCACCATATATTCCGGCATTCTGTTACATGATGGAATATATCGGTACATCCAGCCTTCTAATTCCATAACCAAAATAAAGTATCAGAAATCAGATGTAGAAGCTCAACGCCAGTATTTGAATATGTATTGCAAAATCAGATATAATGCAAGTACTTTTATGTGATTAGAACCATCCTTTTTCGGTTGAATGTATAACGTACACAATACTGTTTTGATAACTAACTATCCATTAAGAATATTAAAGCATCAACTTTTTTCCCTACATGGATCCTATACTTCGACTGCGCAAGGTCATATTTTCTCTTAAATTGCAAGTTATCATATATTTCTTTACTATTTCATTCGAAGATAATTTCAATCTAGTTCCCCTCATATTTTTATTAATAAATATCGCACCACTCTCTCTTACTGGTGCAATATAAGTCTTCTATATACATGTCCAATTCACCTAAGTAAGTTTGTTCTTAACTTGTATCTCCTATTAATTCTATATCTACCGTTTCACGAATATACTTGTTTGTAATTCTATCCTTTATGGCTTTACCACACATTCATTTTAACATACTCTTCTGCTTAGCTTTCGAGTGTATTGCTTCTTAATTGCCCAATATCAAGTGTCCATTAAGGTGTTCGTTTGTGCATGGACTATAGCTCATGATAGGATTAACAAATGATTTGCTTCAGAAAATAAGACCTCTTCTTTGCATTTCTCCATAATGGTATGAGGTGTGGACGTGCTAGTGGAAATATTGATCACCTAATTTTACATTGTCATATTGCTTTGTTTTTGTGGTCCAAGCCTTTTCGATTGGCAGACTTAAGTTGAGTGATTACCAGGATGTTTTTTTTTCAATGTTTGTGGAGGAAATTGAGGGGGTTTGTGATGCATAAGAAAAGAGTGACCCTCTGGCCTTTGGCAATGTGTAACTTTCGCCCTAATATAGGTGATATGATTGGACAGGGACTCTAGGACATTTGAGAATAGAAGAGAACAGAAGAAAGGTTTATAGGATAAAATTTACTTTTGGCATCATCATGGGGTTCTAATTTTATAAAAGTTGATGGCATATTGCTCTCTTGTATCGTGACTAATTGGAGAGCCTCATGTGGTACATAGTCATTATGAGATAAAATTTGTATTTTTCCACTTATGGGTTGGACATCTTGTCCATCCCATTTTCTATTTGATGTACTATTTTTTTAATTAATAAAATTGTCTCGTTTTCTATCAAAAAAAATTCCCAGCACTCTATACCATAAAACATTGCTCGTGTCATAAGCATCAATAAGCTTTAAAGTACTGCATGCAACTAGATAGTGGTAGATCCTGCACTAATAAGTGCATCAAGTACATGAAAATGCTTGATTCAAGCTTGAGCTCATTTATAAGCAATGTTTTGAACAAATTTAATATTTGAAGATCACGGAAAGGGTAAGTGGTGAGTGTTAATATCCTAGAAATTTGTAGTGGAATAAATTAGAAGATCAACATGCACAATAGAAGGCTTAATATTTTGACTTCCACGCCACAAAGCAACAAAACATAAATTAAACTACAAAAACCACAATGCTGCAATAAAAGTTCATCACATATGTATAATCAAGAATTCAGTTAAGCCACAGAACTTATAAGAAAGCAGACATGGGGTAAGACCTTACGAAAGCGTAAGCGGCATAACAAAGATTTGCAGTATCCTTCTTCCAGATCAAGATTAGTTTGTAATGGCTCTACATCTGCATCACAATAGGCAGTAAAACCTTTTGAGCAACAATCTACATTCCTTACCTTAAAAGCATTTAAAAGGGTAACAATATTGAAGAATGTAACCGTCCATAGCACCACTAACATAACAAGGTAGAGTTATTAGCTATACCTCATAGGAAAATCAAGCTTGTTCAGCTATGTTATTGATAACAACCAAACAGGAGAAGGCTCCCGGGTGACATGAATCATGATATACGAAAAAGTCCTTGGTGTATTCTTAGGGGGCGCAAACGAGATGGGATGTATATGTAGAAAAAGAAACCAAAAGGAAATATGGATGCTACCTTAAGAATGGATTAGAATCACCCCCAACAAGTACAACCAGGAACCCTGCCTTCTCACAACCAACCCCAAAAATGAAGGCAAAAAGACCAAATATAATCAAAGTGCCCATCTCCGCCAACACAATGAAAAGCATCAGTCCACTCTCATAATTTCTGGAACCCAAAGAAATAGAAATATCATGAGATGCATGTGTTTCATCTCCAGAACTGACACATCCAAGCACTAAAAAAGGTGTACAATCCGCTTAAAATCTAAGGTTCTTTAAGCTCATTCATTGTAGGTTCTCTTACTTGATGTAGTGACTGGCAAAGGCCAACCGAGAAAGGAGAACAAATGGCTAAGGAATCGTCCAGTTCCGAGCAAGCTCGTCGAGCTGCAGTTGGATTATCACAGAAGAAGAGGAGTCGTCTTAGGAAATAACTTAACTTAAAAGACAGATGCCGCCACTGCAAGGCGAGGGAGCAACTTGTTTAGTCTTGCGGTGCACTCATTCCAGTTACAAGAGTGAAATGGCGCCCCAGCTTGACTCGAGACCAAGACATCCTGATATGTTGCAAAAAATTCTCCACAAAAAGACATCAATCAGCCATCTCCAAGAATATAAAACTCTTAATACAATATCACATAAGCTCCAAAATGGACCAAATGTAGGAGAAATCTCAGTGGTACCCTTTCCCGGAATAAGTTGACTTTTCAAAGCTAAAACCCTCACTGACACCAAAAAAGAGTTCAACCCGATACTTTACTTTCTATCTAGTCGATCATATTTCAACATTTTAAGTTGACTGATTTTTCTCCAATAACCTACTATTTTGTCTGTAAATACTGCACATTTAATTCCCTCAATACGACATTTTTCTCCCCCAAGCGATGAGAGTTCACCAAGGCAAGTAATATATCTAGATCACAGAAACCCAGTAGTAAACAGATACCACAAAAGAATAAATATAAAGCTTAGGGCATAATAATCAGTGTTCACAGATTGTTGGCCTAAATAGTTGGTAGCTTCATTTGGGCCGCATGCATGATCGGACCAGGTACTAATCGCTCAAAAACTGCTTATACATGGCACATGTACGATGCATATATGCCATTACAGTCGTTGAATTGTAACATCCGAAATTGGGCACTAAAACTCTAAACCATTCTATCTGGCAACCCTGAATTTTCGTACAGATGAACCATGGAGAATGAGCATACATATATCCTCACCATGAAATAGCCTCATTCTAGTGGCCCTCGTGATTATATACTGGGATAGATCAAGTCCAAAACTGCCTCATCTAAAAGCAAATCTTTCTACAAGGTACCGATTCCAATTTTGACAACTGGCCTGAAGGTGATTTAGCTATTAAAGTTGGTGTCTCCAACAGAGGATTCATGTTCATAAAAGATCTGACGAGTTCTATGCTAACTGTCAGTTATCTTACCCATCTAACCCCCTTTATTTGCTAAACAAATGTGACATAGACAGGATGAAATGGAAATGTAAGGCAGATAGGTACTAAAAGCAAGAAAGGAGTATGGAAATTGGAAATGTAAGGATACTATTCCATTAAAATAGGAGGTATGACATGAAAAAATCTGTTTTTCAAACATTGATAAATTCATTTTTGAGCTTCATCCAGGCATCAATCTGAGTGACATTGAAACCTCACAAAATTACAAGCACCCCTAGGCTTTTGTCTGTCTCAGTATGCTTAGCTTAATAGAAAATTCGTTAAATTTGAGCAATGATCAGTAACTACCTTCAACTAGTCTCTTCTTGGACGACGGAGCTTTACAAGCACGTAATTGACGAGAAATAGTTTCTTCTACTGCATGCAGCATTGATAAGTTTTTTTCATCCCCATCCCCCTTCAAAGGCAGACCATATGCCATAGTAAAAAGATCTTCTTCCTGTAAAAGAAATGAGATTAAACAAGTCAAAACCACACTTCTCATAACAATTATTGCATACAAACAACTGATATAGAAATAGTAGCATATAGACAAAATATGAACTCTATGATACGAGAATGAAGATTCCCTGGGGAAAAGTACCATAAACATTATGGACCAAAAGTTATTAACAAGTCCACACCATGTAACTCGTTACTTCATCCATAGTAGGTGAGAACATGGAAGCTCAATTAGTAAAGTAGACCAGTTCTATCAAGTTAAACAAAAGATTGAAAGTAAGCACTAAAAAGGGAGCAATCAGGGTGTATTCTTTTATACAAGTTTCCTCTGCTGCAGGGGTAGGGGGACAGGGAATTACAGGAGTCCAGGGTGGTAGGTAGGCATGAACAATCATGCAAAAAGTCACATCTGAACATACGAGAGGAGAAATTAAATAGATGTATGTGTCAATCCACCATGATGCAAAAATATAACTCCCAGCAATGCTCTCACTCATAGCAAGGTTTGGGGAAATAAATGGTATGCAACCTTACCCCATTTTGGGAGGTTGATTACCAGACTCAAACTTATGATGTATTACGCTTGTGCGATTGAACAATTGTCATCTGTCTAGGTCTAACTTCTCAAAGTTCTAAAAACTTTATTAAAAACCCTCTTTTAAAACTTGTAGACGTAATTTTTATGGAAACTATTCCCTCAAATCATTTGAGAGGAATGAGTTGCATAGAAGTACAAAGCATTTCTCTGAAATCAAACAAATGCCAAAGAGTTGTTGGAATACTTTACTTCATGTGTGCGTGTCTCCGAAACCACTGAAACAACTGAATTGCAGGTTGCCCGAATGACTCTGCAATAAGAATGCAACAATGCATGTGATGATGTTCTATCAGGCCTCTGAAGGTAGATGCAAGAGTAAACAGTTTGTGCCAGTGAATGACCCTTATGCCATGTTGCCTGCCATGTAAGATAGCACATCAGTTGGTAATTTTTTTTTTCTTATGTCTTTTTTTCCCTCAGGTGATAAACAGATTAGTTAAAAGCATATCAATTTCAGTAGTACTACTATGGAGTCCAGTATACATCATACCTCACATGCCAGAAGATGATCCATAATGTCAATAGTACACTGAACATCAATAGTTTTATCAAAACTCAAAGGAACTGGAGCAGCACCATTCTCAATGGCCTCATCAACAGAATAATATCTACAGACAATACCCGAATCCATCTTTGGGTCCATTATCTAATGAAAATGTATAGAACATATTAATACACACATCAAAAGAGAAGTTCAACATAAAGGGATTTTCCATTATAGCATCAGATATTAAAATCCAGGATTATGTGGTGCCTCTTCCACATCTACATGCTCATTTTGTAGTTTATTATGAAGTCTTAAACACAAGGTAGCGAATCCTTCACTCCAGTTTCACCTTTTCCTCTAGCTCTTCAAAATAAATAATCCACTTTTCCGTGCTTAACTTTGAAATATAACACATTCAATTTACAAAACTTTAACCGCCCCCAAATGTCATTCATCACATGGCAAGTTGCATGATGATACCCTTTTTTAAATTATATCCTTTTTTAAACCTCAGGCTAGCAATGCACAGAGCATCGCCCTGCATGATTCCGTCCTCCATGATGACACCCACGGAAAAAAATTGACTTCAACATTAAAAACAAAAAGAAACATTACCTCCAAGGCAGACATGGCAGCAAAAAGATTGAAATTCTCTCCATGTACAAGCTCACCATCTTGAAGATCTGTGACCAAGCCATACAAACACAAAGCTATCTGAGTTAAAGCAAACAAAAAACCAAGTTGAACAGATGCCCACCATTAACATAGCCCCCAGTTAAAAAGTATATAATATGTGCATTTTTACAAACAAAAAAAAAAAAGAAAGTGTCAACAAAAGTGCAGGACAATGAGAAAGAATTAGGCATCAAATAGAACTACATCATCCCTCTGGTAGTATTTTAGTGTCGACGTTGACTTGGCAGCATAGTTTTAGTGAAACAATTGACTACATTTACTTTAGGTCAATTGCCAATTTCAAAACCTGAAACAGCATCCAACAAAGTTTACATTTGGAAAATCAGCAAATAACAGCTTAGACTAACCATATGGGACAACCTTTAGAGACATCCAAAATGTGACATTTTTCAGGGATGGGGGGAGTTAATACGAACGTGACTATAAAGGCTATAAGGGAAGATGGTTCAACACATGAAAGCTAGAAAAAGACTAAAAACTTAAAACGATATTAATAGCCAAGGAAAAGAAAACTTGCAATCATTATCTATACTATTAATTAAGGAAGAGGAGGGCGGTTTGGTGTCCTCATTATGAAATATCTATATTACCTTTCAACCACCCACAACTTCTCATCTTTATTGGACTTTTTGCATTCTTTTATTTATCTATCTCATTTTATGTCTCACTATTTTCTTAGTGCCCCTAGTACATAAGGAACATATAGTACATAGAATCAATTAGCGTAGAGAGCTGCAAATTGGGGCCTTTCAAACTTCCCTAACACGTGCATTGAAGACTAACTCAAATATCTCTTTTGGCAATTAATCCCATTTACTAAAGCTGCACGGGAGTTTAAACACTGTGAAAACATAGTATGCCGAGTCAACAAGCAAGAACAAGAGAAAAATCAAAACTACAATCTAGACTTGTGACCTTACCATACTATAATACCACTGATAAAAAACTTGGGTTAATCTCATTTTGCACCCTAAAAGATTGTTCAAATCTCAATTTGCACCCCCAAAGATCAAAAATCTCAATTTGCACCCTCAAAGATAGAAATTTGTATCAATGTGCATTCCCAAAGATAAAAAATCTCAATTTGCACCCTCAAAAATAGAAATTTGTATCAATGTGCACCTAAAATTAAATTGATAAATTATACCTAGATCCCCTCATGTTTGTCACTTAATCATTTGAACTCCTTCACATTTAGAATATTTCCCTTACATCTCATGACGTTTGTGCATGTGTAACACATAACCACTTTTCGTTGATATCTGTTAATATAATCGTTAAAAAAATTATTTTATCCTAATAAAAAATTATAATTTCATATTACTTTTTATTTTGTGGATTCGATATACTCTAAAGTTGAAAATCAAACTTACCATTTGAATGTCTAATAAAATGTAGATATTTATATAAAAGGTAATATAAAAACATTATATAAATATTTACATTTTATTAGACATTCAAATGGTAAACTAGATTTTGAACTCTAGAATATATTGAACCTATAAAATAAAGGGTAATATGAAATTATAATTTTTTATTAGGATAAAATTATATTTTTTAACGGTTATATTAATAGATATCAATGAAAATGGGTTACATGTTATACGTGCACAAATGTCATAAGATGTAGGAGTAATATTCTAAATGTGAAGAGGTCTAAATAATTAAGTGACAAGTATGAGGGGATCCAGGCATAATTTATCAATTTAATTTTAGGTGCACATTGATACAAATTTCTATTTTTGAGGGTGTAAATTGAGATTTTTTATTTTTGGGGTGCACATTGATATAAATTTTTATCTTTGAGGGTGCAAATTGAGATTTTTGATCTTTGAGGGTGCACATTGATACAAATTTCTATCTTTGAGGGTGTAAATTGAAATTTTTAATCTTTGAGGGTGCAAATTGAGATTCGAACAATCTTTCGGAGTGCAAAATGAGATTAACCCAAAAAACTTCAAGAAAACCAAACCCCACTAAAAGAAACTACTCCTTACTCCCTAGCCCTCTAAGTTTGCAACTTTGGTCGTTACAATTATGAGGTTAGCCCATGTCGTATATCCCTCACATTACTTATGTAATAAACACAAAAAATCAACAATTCTACACAAAACTGCTACAAACCAGCATAACAAAAATCATATATTAATTCTCTTCTCTAAAAGAATACCACCAGTAACTTCAATAAGTTGGGGACTTGGTGTTAACAAACATCGGCAATGGACTACACATTCATTTTAGTGCAATTTCACTTTTTATTAATCGATATGTCCTTGTGGAACAAAAAAAATAATTTTCATTTACCAGAGAATGAAGAACCCAAAGCAAATAAGCATATTCTACACAATGTGGCAAGTAAGCTGAAGAATCGTGTCACCTAAAACTTCAATTACCAATGCAAACTCACTACAATCAACAAAATTAATAGTAATTAATTTTCATGTTTGGTTGCCAAGCAAGGACAAGAAACGTACAAACAAGCAACTAATATAGCTTGCAACAGGGTTTTTAGCTATTTCAACATTGCAGATTTTCTGTACTTGTAATAATTAACAACTCCGAGATTAAAAATCATAATGTTTCACTTCTTTTCTATACTTTTCTGAATCTTTCTCGGAAACAAACGGAGCTTAAATTAAGGGAAGACGAAAACATATTAGACCTTTGCATGCGGATTCGAGGAGAGGCGAAACATCGGCCCAAACGGTCTGTTCGCCTGAAGTAATTGATGATGGATTGAGGTTTGGTACTTTCACATCTCTGTCTCCTTCTACTCCAACTTTTTCTGCCATTGATTCAACTTTGATACCTCTCTCTCTCTCTCTCTCTCTCTCTCTCTCTCGTCTGCAGTTGTGGAGTCTTCAGCTTGCTTTTTCAATGATCGGCGTAGTTTTCAGCTTCGCTTGCAGAGAAGGGGGGTGGTGGGGTTGAGTGAGGGCTTGAGCAATTTTTGGTAAGGCAATAAATGGGTCAAATCAGCTTTACCAAAATGGGTCGGCTCTAATGGTGGACCGACCCCCCAAAACCAATATTGTCCATCCGAACAATTCCAATTCAATTTGAGCCCAACTCTATTCTATTTTTAGAAAAAATTAGAGGTTAGTCCTCCTATATATAGATTTATTTGAACTTAAATCCTCAAAGAAAACTTATTTATTATGAAGTACGTTTTTTGTCAATTTTATCAAACTATTCATTCCCTTTAGAGGTGAAGTCAAATTAAAAATTAAAAATTCATAAATTTTAATAGTTTGACTAATATTAAAAAAACAAATTTCTCATATCTATCTATATTCATATATAGGTTAGGATTATATATATCTCTCTCTCACACATATATATATATATAGTAACATTAAAAATACAAAATAGTAACATTCAAATACAAAAAAAAAAATAGTAACATTTAAACACAAAAAAAAAAAAATAATATTTAAACAAAAAATAATAATAACTAAAAAAATAGTAATATTTAATATTAATATTTAAAAAAAATAACAATACTATCATATTCAATAAAAATAGTAACAAGTTCAACAAAAAAATAGTAATGTGGAACATTGAACAAAATTGAAAATAAAAATAGTAAGGAAAAAGCCTTTAATTCTTCAGCATCCAAAAAAATCATACTAAAAAAGTAATAACATATTCAATAAAAAATAATAACATGAAAAAAAAAATATTGATATGTATTAATAAATTACGTTTTGAAATTGATATTATTGAACTGATATTACTATACTAACATCAAGTACTTGACGTACATTATCCATGTCACTTTTTTAAAAGCTCGAGCTCGTACTCCAGTTTCATCATTCATCCCTTTCAAATTAGCCTCAAATTTCAAAAGTCAATTATTTAAATATATAATAGACAAAATTATAACTAAAAATTTGAATTTGAAGTATTATGAAAAGCTTGTAATCGACAATTACCATCGTAAATCAAACATTTCTATATTCAATCATTGACCTCCATATATAGCTCTTTGTAAATAATGTTTTCAACTTTCATAATTGACCAAACTATCCCTGTTAAGGGTATTTTTGAAATTAAAAAAAAATGGACTTTACTCCTTACTAATAAGATTAAAAACGAACTTACCCTCAAATATATTTTATTGACAAACTTAAATTATTATAAGTCCATCTAAGAAAATTCAGCTCCAATTTTCACTTATTTTCACTTCATTCAAGTTCATTCAAATTATTTTATTTGATACAAAAAAATAATAAAATCAAATTTATTTCCAAAAAGCTCCAAATCATAACTTCTCTATCCATCTTTTCTTTAGAGATTTTTGAAAATTTGCTTCTAACATGTGATTTATACTTGATTATAGAGATGTTGGAGATTTTTTGTTAATAAATAAATAAATTAATGAGTATTACTAATGCTCCGTTTGGTAGGGAGGATGAAAAATAGAAATGATACATTTTCTTTCCTTTGTGTTTGGTTGGATGAATAAAAAATAAAAATAATAATTTTTTTTTGTGCTGGCTAAGATTAGAAGTGACAATTGAGTCGAGTCGTGTCGTGTCATGTCAGATTCGTGTTGAATCATTATGGTTTTGTGTAGAATATTAGTCAAACATAACTTAACTCATTTAACTAATTGTGTTGTGTTGAGTTACGAGTTGACCTGTTTATTTTCGTGTCAAGTTCGAGTCATGTCATCGTATTGAGTCGAAAATTTTCACCATTTGTTAAGATGAATTTTTTTTAATTTAAATTTTTTTTTTTTATTTTTTGTAATTTTATTTTAAATTTTTTTAAAATATATATACATATTTTACAATTGTATTTTTATACGAAATTAATGTATACATACGATATATAGACAAATAAGATAAATCTCAACACAAATAATTAATTTTTCATCCACTTTCCTTCCGATTTTGGAGGGATTGATTTTGATAAGTTGGAAGAAAAGTTAATTCATCCACTTTTTCATCCTTCCTACTTTCCTTTCTTACCAAACATGATGTTTTATTTATCCCTCCAACTTTCTATCTTCCCACTTTTTTATCGTACCAAACGGAGAATAAAAGTCATAGGGTTTTATTATTAAATACTTTTCTAATAAATTGAGCTCCAATGATCATGAACATTTTGTCTATTCTAGCTCAAGTAAAATTTAAGTTTGGTAGTCAATCACAAAAACACTAAGCTTAAATACTAAAGTGTAACAACTTAGATTCAATAACTTCACACATAGTTGTTGATGTCGGGCAATGACCAGAGGCCCAGAGCCTTGTTTTAGCCCCCGCCCCCCCGGCTTATGAGATAAATGTGTGTTTGAAGTCCTAGCATATGGTTTTATTAGTTATAATTCGTGTCTGAAGGTACGATAAAATATAAAATTTGAGCATCTAAAAAATCGATCCTATTATATTAATTTTTTTCAAAATATATCAACTACAAATTAATTAAATATTAAATGATTAAATATATGATAGAAATAAGTGATGTGATATTTTTAGAGAATAAATATTTAAATAATTAAACATATGATAGAAATAAGTGATGCGATTTAACTTTTGAGTTTGACAAAGGGATGATGGGTAATGTAAGTGATTGGTGATAATTTTGAGGAAAAAAATATGATTAAAATAAATTTAAACACACTCTTATTTTATTATATAGATGTCATCAACAAAAGTAGAGTGTATATTAATTAGGCCTAATTTAATTGATCATCATTTATTTTTTTTAAAATTGTATCAACTAATGCAATTTTCAACACCCACTATTAGAGAAGGTGTGTGGTGGGGTTGAACGAGGGTTTGAGCAATTATAGGTAGGCAAGAAATAGATTAGATATTAAAATGGGTTGAATTTGCGAGCTTTTAAGCTATCATTATCGTCATTTTTAACTCTTTTTTTAGCATATTTTTTTAATTCCTTTTCTAGTTTAGCATTGTTTATACAAAAAAAAAAATGTGGGAGAAAATTGGTGAGAGAATCTAAAAAAAAAAGGTAAAATGAAGAGGGAGAAATAATTCTATAATGTTTGAATATCAATACAACAATGAAGGAAGAGGTCGAATAAAAGAAACTCAAAATTTTGCATTGTTCCCCTTTACCTTTCTCTTTTATTGTGTAAACCATACAAAATATAAAAAAAAAAAGAAAAAATTCCCTTGCCTTTTTTCATTTTATACAACTGAGGTGATTTTTCTTTGTAAATATTTGTGATAGGAGTTTAATTTGGAAAAATATCACTTATCAACAAAAGGTTATGTAGCATAAGTAATTACAATAGATTTTTATTTTTTAAAAAATCAAATTAACAGACAATATTAGAGATAGTTGTTTATAACATAGCAAATTTGATATTGGGCATGTTTGGATCCAGCTGAAAACCTTAGGCCAGGTTTGGTTTGCATTCCGAAAATTATTTTTTGTTCTCAAAATTTCAAAAATATTTAAAACTTGTTTGTTTTATTTTTTTGTTCTTTAAATTTTTTAAAAAAAAATGAGATTTAGAGCAAAGAACACATCAAACAATAATAGCTTCTTTTCAGAATTGTCTAATTTTGAAAACAAAAAAAATAATTTTGAGTTTTAACGAGGTCTGTCCCTCGGCAGCAAAAGTCTTTGCTCTTTTTTTTTTTTTTTTTTCTTCTTCCTCTCTTTCTCCACACGTCTTCTTCTCCAACGTCTTCGTCTCCATCTCCTCTCTGTCTCTCTCTCTTCTTCTTCAGATCTGACCAAATCTAGAGCACCGAAGCACGTCTTGTCTCCTCTCTCTCTCTGTGTCTGCAACGAAGGTGCTTCCCCGTTCTGTTATCTACTGTGAGTCTGTGACTCCCATACGCCCAACTCCCAAATCCCTAACCCTAATCGCAGTCTCCACTAGTGAATCGCCACCGCCGCTGGAGTACCACCACCAGTGAACCCACCTCCATTGCTCTGAAAACCCAAAACCCAGTGAAGCCCCATCCCCAAATCCAACAAAGCCCCTATCCTCAATTCGTTGAATCAACACATGGGTCCACCAACGAAGGCACCAGTTATCCAACGGAGCTCCAACAGCTGCTAGAACACAAATCTGTGCACAGATTTAACTCGGTCTTGGTGGTGGGTGTTGGGTGGTTCTCAACGGGGGTTGATGGTAGTTGTGGGTGTTGGGTTGATGGTGGTTGTTGAGTTGGTGGTAGTTGTGGGTGTTGGGTTGACTGTAGTGGTCGATTGTGGGTGGTGGGTGATACACAGCGAAAGAGAGAGAGAGAGACAAAGAGTTGAATAGACGTGGAATTGTGGATTATTATTTAAAAAAATTTTATAATTTTTGTTCTTTAAAATTATTGTCAAAAATATATAATCAAACAAGTTTTGTAATCTAAAAATTTTAAAATATTTTTTTTAAATTATTCTCAAAAATAATTTTTAAATATTATTTTTTAATATGCAAATTAAACAAGTCCTTAGGTTTTTTTTTTTTTTTTCCAGAGGAAAAGAAGTCTGTCTGGTTCGTTTGGACCCAAGATATTAAGCGACTTTTTAATCAATTTTTTTTGGGCAAAGATAACTTTTTTTTACACCAAGGAAAAACTAAAAACTAAGACTTATTCAAGGACTTCCAATGAAAAGTCAGGACATGTTTGGTTTGTGATCCGAAAATAATTTTTTGTTCTCAAAATTTTAAAAATACTCAAAACTTGTTTGTTTAGCATTTTTGTTCTCTAAATTTTTGAAAAAAAAAATGAGATTTGAATCAAAAAAATAGAAAATAAGTGTAACTTGTTTTAAGAGTTTTCTTTGAAAATTTTGGAAATAAGGAGAACAATTTTGGATGTTCAGATATGAGAATATATATATATATATATATAATG